CTCTCTCTCAAAAATAAACTATCTATCTATCTGTACATATATACATAAAATCAGCCTAAACCAGAACAATTTTTTGGTGTTGTTCAGGAGAAAGGATTCCCTTTGGAATTTTGGAATGTTCTTCTAATTAATGTGGTGATATCTAGCACATTCTTCCTATGCCAAATGGTTATCCCAGAGATAGAATTTTGTCAGCTCCCTATTTCTTAACACGTGAAACATTTCTGCCCCAAGATTTCTGCATATTTCTGGAGTTCTTAAATTCCTGTGATGACCCATGACTCTGAAATGCTGTTTCCTCTGAATTAATTGGCTTGAATCACGAATCACCTCGCCATCTTGTAGCTGGTATTTCTGTTTTGTACTATGTCAAAACCAAGTGTGAAACTTATTCCTTTACTCTTTTTTCACAGATTCCTGACATCACAGAGCAGGTGCATTAGAATTCAAGGTTTTATTTATGGATAAGTTATGACTGAGGACTCTCTTTGCCTTGAGGTCAGTGGAGGTGCTGGATCCTGCTTGGTGACACTTATCAGCTGCCTTCATAAACTGTGCTGTCACTTTTGTATTGTCTTGATAGGTTCACCAGGTGCTCCACAGAGTTCTTGAGAAGTTCCATCCATTTTCAAATTCTAAGTCCGGGGCTATGTCCAAATTATCAGTTTGAGTTTTTCTACCTCTCCTGGCTTCTTACATGGACAGTCCTCTACCAGACTTGCTTGAAATTTTATTGAAAAGTTACTTCAGAATATTTATGAAGTTAGAAGGACCCCAAATTAATTCCAGACCACAAACTTAAAAAAAAAAAACCCCACACCAATTACTTGTGTAATTAAACATTGCTTCAATGGAAAAAATAGCCTAGAAAATTGTTTTCAGAGTATGTAACTTCTTAGGGAGGACTGGTATGGTATGTTATTAAGGAATGAGAATATATTCTTGGGATGTTCAGTAATTAACTATGTAGATGTGTTTGTAATAAGGCTCTTACAATCTGGACTCCAAGATTTCTAGAAGCAGGAACAGATTATTAAATAATCTTTAAGATAAATTTGATTGAAGTAAAATTCACAGATCTTAGGTGTAAAACTGAATGGGTTTTGGTGGGTGAATCCATTTGTATAACTACCATACAAATCAAGATGTAGAAGGTTTCCATCACTCCTGAAAGTCCCCTATGTCTCCTTTCAGATAATCCCCACTCTCTTTAGGCATCCATTGTTCTGAGAAATAGGTTAATTTTTTGTCATCAGTGAAATAAAAAAGTGCTCTTTTTTGTCTGACTTCTTTCGTTCAACAGGTTTTAATAATACATCCATTTTGTTGTATGCATCAGTACTTTGTTCTTTTTTATTGCTGGGTACTATTTGTTTACTTAATACTCCCTTTACTTAATACTCCATTTATTTTTTCATCAGTGTTCTGCAAATTTTTGCATACAGATGCTACAGAAATTTTTAAAAATTTATATCTGTTTCTTTCATTTTTATTTATTGGACCTGTTGTATAAGGTATTTAAAAAACTTTAGTGTTTGATTGTTTATTATTACCGTTTAGAAATACTATTATTTGAATGTTGACTTTGTCTCCTGAGATTGTTAAATTTAGTTTTAAGAACTTCACCCCACCTTGAAAAAAATTCCTCAAATTTTCTAAAATCATTTTATTTATAAATAGAAACAGTTTTATTTCTCTGTTTCTAATCTGTAAGTTTTAACTTTTCTTCCTTCCTTCCTTCTTTCCACCCATTGCACTGACTATGTTCTGAATAGGAATGGCAAGAGTAGAAGTCTTTGTCTGGTACCTGATCTTAGAAGAAAAACATTCAGTATTTACCACTGAGTGTGATGTGGGATTTTTATAGATGCCTTCTGTCAGGTTAAGAAGGTTCCCCCTCTATTCATAGTTTGCTGGGAGTTATCATGAAAGACATTTTAATTTCGTCAAATGCTTTTTCTACTTTAACTGATGTGATCATGTGTGTGTGTGTGTGTGTGTGTGTGTGTGTGTATGTTTTAACTGGTTAGTATGATAGATTACATTGATTTTCAAATAGTAAATCCACCTTATACTTTTGGGACAACCCCACTTGGTAGTGGTGTATTATTCTTTTTATATATTACTAGATTTAATTTGCTAACATTTTTGTTAAGGATTTTTGTATTTATATTCATTAGGTATATTGGTCCGCAATTTTCCTGTACTGTCTTTTTCTGGCTTTGGTATCAGGGTAAGGCTCGTCATGCAGAATCAGTTGGGAAGTGTTATTTCTTTCTATTCTCTGGAAGACTTCTCTCTCTCTCTCTCTCTCTCTCTCTCTCTTCCTTCCTTCCTTCCTCATTTTTTTTTTTTTTTTTTTTTGTAGAATTGATATTATTTCTTCTTCAAATCTTTGGTACATTTCACCAGTAAAATCACCTGGAGATTTATAAACTACGAGTTAAATTTCTTTAATAGACACAGAGTCATTCAAATGACATATTTCATGGTAGTTGAGTTGTGGTAAAGTTTTTATTTTTAAGAAATTGGTTTATTTCATCTATTTTGTTCTACTTATGTGTAGGGTGGTTTGTAGTATTCTTTTATTATCCTTTTGGTATCTGCAGAGTCTGTAGTGATGTCTCTTATTTTGTCCGTGGTGTTGTTATCATGTTTTTGTTTTTGTTTGTCAGTCTGGTTAGGGATTTATTAATTTTATCATAGTTTTCCAAGGATCAATTCTAGTTTTGTTTATTTTCTGTATCTTTCTGATTTCAATTTTATCAGTTTATTATTCTTTCCTTTTTCTTGCTTTGGGTATATTTTAGTATTCTTTTTCTAGTTCAAGGCAAACTTTTTAAATTGTTGATTTGAGAAATTTCTTCTTTTCTAATATGTTTTGAACATTACAAATATTCCCCTATACACTCCTTTGTATTCTATAAATGTTAATATATTGAATTTTCATTTTTGCTCTGTTCATAAATATTTTCCAATTTCCCTGATAGCTCCCTCTTTGATCCATAGATAAGTTAGAGTTGTGTTGTTTAATTTCCAGATATCTGGAGATTTTCTAGTTATCCTCCTGTTAATGAATTCTAGTTTAATCTCATTATGATGAGAGAACATATTTTGTATGGTTTCATTAGAAAAAGATGTTGTCAAGGTTTGTTTTGGCCCAAGGTATGGTCCATCTTGGACTATATTTCATATGCATTTGAGCAGAATGTGTATTCTGTCATTTGGTTGAATTTCATATATGTCGACTTGCTCCAGGTAGTTAATAGTATTGTTGTGTCCTTCTATATCTTTGCTAATTTAAAAAATCTATCCACTTTACTGATTATTGAATGAGAGTGTTGAAGTCTTAAACTACAACGGAAGACTTCTCTTTCCAATCTATTGATTTTTGTCTCCTGTATTTTGAGGTTTATTGTTAAGTAATAGATGTTTAGGATTGTTCTGTATTTTTGGTGAATTAACCCTTTAAAATCATTAGGTAATGTCTCTCTTTATCCCTGATAACTTTTCCTTGCTCTCAGCTTTCTTTTTATGATATTAATAGCCAGTTCTACTTTCTTTTATTAGTTTGCATGCTGTATCTTTTCTATTCATTTACTTCTAATTTATCTATGTTACTATATTTAAAGTGGTTTATTATAGCATATAGTTGTGGGTATTTTTCCCTTGTCTACATTCTGAAATCTCTATTTTAAAGTTGATCTATTTAAAGCATTTACTTTTAAGGTAACTATAGGTTTGGATTTATATATGCTAAAAACAGGTCTACTGTTTTATTTTTTTTTCTGTTATTTTCCTCTGATTTTTGTTCCTCTATTTCTACTTTCCTGTCTTCTTTTGGGGTAATTGAATATTTTTTAGACCCTAAAACCCCAAGGACAATATCCTCATTTTTGCTCTCATCCATTGTAAATATTTAAAGAACATAACAGAAAAAAATCTTATGTTTAGCCAGATAGTTACCACTTCTGTTGATCTTCCTTCATGTCCGTAATTTTAAGCCTCCCTTAGAGATCATTTCCCTTCTTTCTTCAGATATTCCTTTGGCATTTCTTTCATAGTAAATCTGCTGTTGGCAAAGTCCTCTAGTTTTTGGTTATCTGATAATGTTTTATTTTCTTCTTCATTTTTGAAGGATATTTTCCCTTGATGTAGAATTCTGAGTTGGCAGTTCTTTTATTTCAACACATTAAGAATTATGTCCTTCAGGCATTCATGGTTTCTCATGAGAAATCTATGGACCTTCAAATTGTTGTTCCCCTCCCCATTGTTTTTCTTTGGCTGTTTTGAAGAAACTTTGTTCTTAGTTTATTGAAGTTTGATGATCATATGTAGGCATACATTTTATTCAGTTTATCCTGTTTTGGGATTCACTGAGCTTGAATCTATATGTTTGTCTTTTGCCAAATTTAGGAAGATTTCAGCCTTATTTATTCAAATATTTTTCTTTGCATTTCATTCTTTTTCCTCTTTTGGAGGGATTTAAATGGTGTTTATGTTACATCTTTTGACCTTGTTCCATAGGCCCCTGAAGCTCTTTATTTTTAAAAAATATTTTTCCTCTTTTTGTTCAGATTAGGTAATATCAATCTTTAAGTTTACTAAGATTGCCTTTGTTATCTCCAATTTGCTCTTGAACTAGCCAAGTGAATTTTTAAAAAAATTTTGTTATATATTTCAGTTCTTAAATTTCCTTTTGGTTGCTTTGTATGTGTTCTCTTTCTATGCTACTACTTTCCATCCTTCTGTTTGTTTCCTGAGTGCTTACTTTTACTTCTTGAAGCCCAATTACAATAGCTGCTTTATAGGTGTTAGGATTTCAACATCCATGTCATCTTGGAGTTGGCATTTGCCAATTGACTGATCCTTTTCAAGATGTAGAGATTTTCCTGGCATTTTATGTCATCAAATAGTTCTGCCATATATTCTGTTATGTGACTCTAGGTCTTGTTTAAATCATATGGGATTTATTTTATTTTTATTTTTTTACTTTTAGCAGGCCATCAACCTGGTTGGGTTCAGGTCTTACTCACCTCCTGTGGTCCATGGTTCCATGTCAGGTGAGTTTTCAAAGCCTGACTAGTGCTTTTCTGATCTGTCCTGTATGAGTACTACCAGTGGCCAATCTGGGGTCTAGTCCATGATCTACCTTATAGTTCAAAAACTTTGCTATGCTGTTTGGAGTTAGATCCATGCATTCACAGCTTTAAAGTGAGCCTAAGGTATTGCACACAACTTTATGGAATCAGTTTTTTCTAGCTCCATTCTAACTTTAAAGTCCCTGACACTTTCTGGTTCCTAGTATACATGCTTCTGCCCTATTCCTCTGGAAGAAAAGTGAGGCCTTTACTGTCTCCACTCTGTAGCACATTTCCTACAGCTGTCTCTCCTCTGCCTCTGGGGTTATACAATGATTGGATAGAGAGGAAAAAGCAACGGGATTCCTTGCACATTCTTGGCTCCACTAAGGATCAGGTCATCTGGCCAAAGAGAAAGTTTCCTCTCCTTCTGCCCAGCCACTGCTGCCATTCCCTCCCCTCCCCCACCCCCCACCACTGCGGGATTGTCGGGGTGCTTTCACACTTTAGTAATTTAATTGCCTGATAGAAAACAAATCACCATGCTTCAGAGGAAGATAATAGAATCCAGAGTCTCTGTAACATACATTCACTGTGTCTAGTATACAATAGCATAGCAGGCAGTTAAATTACTGGATGATGACAAATTTGACTTTAAATTTGTCAGGTAGAAGATTAGTTTCCAGTTCCTTTGTGTGTGTGGGAAGCCCATGATGTTTACTAACCCCACACTCCAGACTTTACACTCTTCTTCCTTATGGAGTACAGTGCATCAAGTCTCTGCTAACTTCTTTCAGCCTCCCAGTGGTTATTATCCATTGAATCCCTGGTCTCAGACTCTGTCCTCTGACAGCTCAAACCAACAAGCTTGTAGGTTTCTGCTTAAATTCTAGTTAATTCTGCTTAAATTCTAGCCATGCAGACTGGGAATACTCTAAATGGTAAAGCCCTATATACTGAGATTAGAATATATACAGTATATTCCTTCTTCCATTTTCTACCTACTTCTGGTCACTCTACAGTGACTTTGAATAATTGTTTCTTGTATCTATCTAGAGCTTATGATTGTTAACTATGGGAAGTCTTCTTTACTGTGAGCTACTCTGTAAATACTAGAACCAGAACTGCTTTTTAAAAAATAGTTTTTTAATGCTTATTTATTTTTGAGTGACAGAGAGACAAAGCATGAGCAGGGAGGGGCAGGGAGAGAGGGAGACAGAACCTAAAGCAAGCTCCAGGATCTGAGCTGCCACCACAGAGCCCAATGAGGGGCTCGATCCCACAAGGTTTTCTGTGAGATCATGACCTGGGTCAAAGTCAGATGCTTAACTGACTGAGCCACTGAGGCTCCCCTGAAACTCAGCTGTTCTAAACAGAAAACTTTGACTCAGTTGTGGGCAGAATGGTGTTTCTGCAAATTTTATGATCTCCTGCTGATTAAGTGGGAGAGCAATGGAAGCTGAGGGGCCCTTTGGGGTACTTCTCTGAATGAGATGTAAGATGGATCTTGAAAATTGCAACAAGCTGTGATATGAAAGAGGGACAGAAATAACTGATACACAATTTTAAGCTTTCTTTGTCTGACTTGAAATTTCCCTTTATAATGTCCTACTCTTCAATAAAGAAGCATTGGCTTTAGAAAGGTGCAGCAACAGAAATCCCTGAGGCTTTTGCTTAAATTGACATTGGATGTGTAACAGCCTACATAGATTTGTGGAATGTGTATATTCAATCATTGGAATGCTTAAAAGTATTCAGAAAGAGGAGCCTGTAAAAAATTGAAGATCATGCTGTACGAGTAGAATTAGAGACTTTGATTATTGTTATTTGTGCAGTTAAGGAAAGACCCCTGAAGTCTGGAGTCCTTGTAATATGTTTATTCCAATGGCAGAAAAGTCAATTTCCCCCCGAAGCACAAAACAAACCATCTCCAAAATTATTAATCTCACCATTTAATTTCATGGCATTCTCAGAATGCTCAGTGCAATACCTGAATTACAGCAGGTATTTCCACAAGTTAAATGCCTATAAAATCATGAAATTAACAGTGTTTTACTCCCTTAATGGGTTCAAGTTCTGGAGAGAGGTAACAAGTCCATATTTAATAGTTATCAAAGCCAACTACATACCAAAAATTGCCTAAAAATTACAAAGAAATGTTTAATCTCCAAATAACTTTTAAATTGGAATATACATTTTCAGTTAAATGAACTACAAGCACTTTGTGGCAAATCCTACAGCAATATTTTACTAATTATTTCTTATTGTAGACATTTTCAAGCATTAGTGTCTAATATTCACATTTTTCAGGGTGAAGTAATGAACACTTCTAGATGAGAGTCTTAGAACCCCAAGGGTTTATGACTGAGAAGCAATTAAAAAAACCTTCAAAACAGTGATTTTAATTTTTATTTTAAGGTAAATGAATTGCTCTTTATTAAACGAGTTTAAAATCATTAGTTTCTTTTTTCATCTGATTACCAAGGTGTTCCTGATTATAACTGAACAGATCACTATGTCCAAATGTTTCTAAAAAATTATTTTTCCTCATACAAAAGATGAACATTTCTTCTCACATGATAATATTATTTATATTTACAACTATACATAGAGTTTGGCTATAGATTCTATTGCCAGAATATTTACCGATCATTAGATTTTTTGGGAAGAAAGCAGTTTGTTACTATTTTTATATCTCATGACTCTCATCATTTAAGCCGGGCTTTAAACCTTTCATATAGCATAAAGTTTACTGAACTGATTGGAAGCTTATGCTGCCTAAAATTTAGATTTTAGCAATTCTCTTACAGTTTATAAACATGATAAGAAAAGCTATGGGAGGCTGGCTTTAATCTTCTAAGCAACAACTGTGAGGTTTCTTGCCTGCTCTGGAGGAAGTTTCTATTGCTTTTTTCCACTGATGATCTGTATGTTATTCTACAGTAATTCTCATTGTCCTTGAAGTCTTAGGTTCTGATAATATTTGATTTTCTTGAAATATTGCTAGTTGGCCAACTTATTCATTTCCTAATTGCTCTTCAAGGGAGTCATTTAAAAATGCCTTTGTCATTTGACAAATCAGTTAATTTCAGAGAGAGCTACAGTTATGATGAAAATAACTCTGTGATGAGATGCAGAGTGACTGGGTGGCCCCACTGACAGTCATTGTGGAAGCTCTCTCTGAGAGGGGACGTTAGGGCTCAGAGGTGAGTAACATGAGTAACAAATGTGAGGTGGTCTGTCAAAGAAGGAACTGGTGGAAGGGCATGGCAGAACATGGGAACAGAAGATAGAAAGGCCCTCTGGTAGGAAGAAGTTTTGTGTGCTTGAAGAATAATGAGGATAGCAGATGAAATGGAATGAGTAAAGGGGAGAGAAGCTTCAAATGAGTTTGGAGAGGTAAGCAGGGCCAGATCATACTCAGCCTTGTAGGAGTTCTATATTTATTAGTATGGAACAATGCCCAAGATATAGGTGAGTAAAAAAATATATTGTTTGGGGTGCCTGGGTGGCTCAGTCAGTTAAGCGTCTGACTTTGGCTCAGGTCATGATCTCACGGTTCGTGAGTTCAAGCCCCATGTCAGGCTCTGTCCTGACAGCTCAGAGCCTGGAGCCTGCTTCGGATTCTTTATCTCCATTTCTCGCTGCCCCTCCCCCACTCATGCTCTGTTTCTCTGTGTCTCAAAAATATATAAAGATTTAAAAAAAATTAAATATTGTTTCAAACAGCCTGAGTTGAAAGATCCCCTGCATATAAAACTATATATTTATTTCCATATATGTCTATAGACACAAAGATAGTTTTGGATGTATGTCCAGCAAAATGTTAACACTGGAAATCTCTGGGTGCTAAGCCTCAGGTGATATTCATCCTTTTTATATTCTTCTAATATTGCTTTAATTGCTTATAAAAACAGAGGAAAATGCATTCATGAAAAATATGCTATCGTACTTTTCAATTATGATTTAAAGTTAAGACAACATTGAGATTATTGTGGCTTATAAACTCATGCAAAGTAGGAAAAAGAGGGATTTATAAGAAAGATTTTGTTGAATTTCATTAACAAATGCAGTGATACAATGACCTATACATTTTTTGAGTTTTCACTGAATATGGAAGATAGAAAAAAGCTCAAAAATATCTGGAGTTCACAGAATACAAATAATTAGTAACATCTCCCTCATTAAGTACTTTTAAAAACAAGACAACAGGTCCAAAGTGGAGTCACTCATGCCAAGCCCCATATCACCAAACCAACACTTCGTTATAGTTTTGGCCTCTTTCAGAAATGGAATCTTAAACCAGTCCATCAGAAATGACCTGGTCAGCACGAGCAAGGTAATCTGCCTGTTAGACCTCTGCTGCCTGATAAAGGAAAGTGACCATATACCAGTCCCCTTTTTGCAAGTATAACTTCCTTGTTCCTGCTCCCTTATATCTATGAAAGTCTTCATTTTGTACAATTCCTTAGAGCTCTTTTCTATCTGCTAGGTGGGATGCTGCCCAACTCATTAATGGTTGAATAAAAGCCAGTAAGATCTTTAAAATGTCCTCAGCTGAATTTTGATTTTTTTAAACACACCAAAATAGAGTTGTCCACATAGAACCTACAAATTGCAAAGTGAATGGTAAAACATTAAACATAAAAAAGATAACTAAGGACGGCGGTGGAAAAGTAAAAAGGGTAAATAATATTCAACTACACATTAATTTGATTACTCATTCTTTCAATACTGTTTGTAACATAATCTGTACTAGGTAAACAAGCATTGTGTGCAAGAAGTCTAGTTGGATTAAATTTTCATGGGTGTAAGAATAAAGAGTGACCACAAAGGCAAGCAGCCTAGGCAGAAAGACAGGGCACAGAGACTGCTGCTGTCATAACAGCATGGTCACACTCAGCCAGTATTTCAATTTTCTACCAAAAAATAAATAAAAAATCTTCCTTGGATCGACATCTCCTATTAAATTATTTTATTGT